TAATGTTCCTACTTCCTGTCTGTTATCTCTCATGGCTCTTCCTAATGTTCCTACTTCCTGTCTGTTATCTCTCATGGCTCTTCCTAATGTTCCTACTTCCTGTCTGTTATCTCTCATGGCTCTTCCTAATGTTCCTACTTCCTGTCCGTTATCTCTCATGGCTCTTCATAATGTTCCTACTTCCTGTCTGTTATCTCTCATGGCTCTTCATAATGTTCCTACTTCCTGTCTGTTATCTCTCATGGCTCTTCATTCCTGTCAGTTATCTCTCATGGCTCTTCCTAATGTTCCTACTTCCTGTCGTTATCTCTCATGGCTCTTCCTAATGTTCCTACTTCCTGTCAGTTATCTCTCATGGCTCTTCCTAATGTTCCTACTTCCTGTCTGTTATCTCTCATGGCTCTTCCTAATGTTCCTACTTCCTGTCCCATGTGTCTCTGCAGTTCCTGGTGGAGGTCTCCACTCTGATCTTCTTCGTGTTGACGGGCTATAAGTTCAGACCAGCGTCCAACAACCCGTACCTGCAGCTGCCCCTGGACGAGGAGGACGTGGAGATGGACGAAGTGTGAGCTCACCGTGACTTTAATGTGTTAACCATCGATGTCCACCCAATGCACAGTCATCGATACAAGTCTACCCAACTGACATAGACTGACCTGTTAACTGTTATTGGCTAATGGTGGCTCTTTTCATTTGACATGAGCAATGTCCTCTCTATTCTACATGTCCTCTTTGAACAGGTGAACTGAAGGCAGTAGCCGCTCTGTTTTGATTGGCTGTAATTGACGTCCTTCTTTGTCTCTGGTGCAGAGTGACTGAGTCCGGAGCTCTGGAGGGAATCTCCAAAGTGAAGAAGACGTGTAACGGACAACGCCCGAAAGAGTCCACCTTGTGAGCTGGAAGCTGCCTCCTTGGAGGGGAGGGGGGGGGGGGGACTCAACATGGACCAAGCCCCCTCCCCCCCCTCCCCTCCCCACACACCAGATCCCCTGCTGAACTCTGGGAGATGTTGCAGTGTCCTGTCCACTGTCTGGCTATGCAAAAAGACAAACTTTGTTGGACACTCTCCAATTCCTCGAAAGCACTCCACCCAGAAACAGTGGAGGGGGGGTGGGGTCTCTCCCCTCTCTCTCCCCAAAGATCATTATCATTTTAGAGACTTGCTTTCGGGTGTGTTTATATCGGTGTGTTTATATCGGCTATTTAAACGGTACTGCTCCCGGTCGTACCTTCCTGTGCGATGTGTGTGTGAACGTAAGACGCCGTGAAAACAGCTGTAATGTTTTTTAACTTCTGGAGACGAAGCGAGTTGGCGTGTGATACTCTCCGGAGGCTGCGTTCAGGCTCAGTTCAGTTTGATGGCGGCTCAATCACTTTAGATTGAACTTTTAGGAATGTTAAAAGGAAGCTTTGGAAATTCTTCAACAGAGAGGATGTAGTGTTTCTGGGTTGGTCCCTGAAGGCAGCATCTCCTGGTCCCTGAAGGCAGCATCTCCTGGTCCAATGGGATCATCTGTGAGTCCAACAAGCGTTTGGTATTCTTGGAACACAGATCCCTAAAAGATGAAAGCTTCCTTTCAACACGTTCTCCTCAGAGGTCGTTTATAGTTTCACATCAACACTACGCTTTGTGTGTTACTCTGTTTCCCATGTGTTGAGATATTTGAAAGAGGTTTTATATTTCAATATATTTCCTCATTGCATATTGAAATGTTATATTTCAGTATTATTTCCAGGAGAGCGAGGAGTCGGCCGCTGCTGTAATTGAATGCTTTAGTGGATGTTCATTTCTAAATCTCTCATTTAGGGAGGGGTCTTTTGGCGAGGAGAGACCGAACAGATGATCTCTGGCTTTTGGTTTTACTTTCGTGCTCTTGATGTGAAGCTTATTTTATTAATTATTGAAGACTTAACAGATGTAAATAAGACTGTGGAGAGGAAGGCACTTTGATGAAGAGGCTTTAGGACGCGTTCAGGTTCTGTTCTGATGGTTTTGTAGGACGCAGGAGACGAGGAGGTGTTCAGGTGTGACTGTTCACCTGAGAGGAAACAGGAAGTCACAGAGGAAGCTGTGATGTCTGCCTGAACTGTCACAATAAAGCTGGTGTTCTGGAAATGTGTTCGTCTTGGACTGATTACATGTTGAATTTAACAATGGGGGACAATGGGGAATGTTCCTACTTCCTGTCAGTTATCTCTCATGGCTCTTCCTAATGTTCCTACTTCCTGTCTGTTATCTCTCATGGCTCTTCATAATGTTCCTACTTCCTGTCTGTTATCTCTCATGGCTCTTCATAATGTTCCTACTTCCTGTCTGTTATCTCTCATGGCTCTTCATAATGTTCCTACTTCCTGTCTGTTATCTCTCATGGCTCTTCATAATGTTCCTACTTCCTGTCTGTTATCTCTCATGGCTCTTCATAATGTTCCTACTTCCTGTCTGTTATCTCTCATGGCTCTTCCTAATGTTCCTACTTCCTGTCAGTTATCTCTCATGGCTCTTCATAATGTTCCTACTTCCTGTCTGTTATCTCTCATGGCTCTTCATAATGTTCCTACTTCCTGCCCGTTATCTCTCATGGCTCTTCCTAATGTTCCTACTTCCTGTCTGTTATCTCTCATGGCTCTTCCTAATGTTCCTACTTCCTGTCTGTTATCTCTCATGGCTCTTCATAATGTTCCTACTTCCTGTCTGTTATCTCTCATGGCTCTTCCTAATGTTCCTACTTCCTGTCTGTTATCTCTCATGGCTCTTCCTAATGTTCCTACTTCCTGTCTGTTATCTCTCATGGCTCTTCCTAATGTTCCTACTTCCTGTCTGTTATCTCTCATGGCTCTTCATAATGTTCATACTTCCTGTCTGTTATCTCTCATGGCTCTTCCTAATGTTCCTACTTCCTGTCAGTTATCTCTCATGGCTCTTCATAATGTTCCTACTTCCTGTCTGTTATCTCTCATGGCTCTTCCTAATGTTCCTACTTCCTGTCTGTTATCTCTCATGGCTCTTCATAATGTTCCTACTTCCTGTCCGTTATCTCTCATGGCTCTTCCTAATGTTCCTACTTCCTGTCCGTTATCTCTCATGGCTCTTCATAATGTTCCTACTTCCTGTCCGTTATCTCTCATGGCTCTTCATAATGTTCCTACTTCCTGTCTGTTATCTCTCATGGCTCTTCCTAATGTTCCTACTTCCTGTCAGTTATCTCTCATGGCTCTTCCTAATGTTCCTACTTCCTGTCTGTTATCTCTCATGGCTCTTCCTAATGTTCCTACTTCCTGTCAGTTATCTCTCATGGCTCTTC